GACTGGCAGGCCGTCAGCTCCAACAACTTGGTTGTTTTTCAGTCGAGTATTCATTATTTGTACCTCGTCATAGTCAGGCGGTGGGACATCGACTCCATCGTCATCGACTGGGGTCTCGGGTTCGTCTTTTCCACTACTTTCAGTGCTGCTGCCATTCAAGCTCTTCGCACTCACGTATTTCGGGTCTCTCTTCTCATTGCGGCGAATACTCTACTAAGTACTACTATTCGCTAATTTTAATGGCCAAAAATCTCAAAAAGAATAGAAGGCGTGCCTAAAAACACGCATCACACATCAACACATCTAGTTACTTGCCTCCCATTCTGCCAGATTTCGCTCATGACAACTTGCTTATGGTACTTTTCCATTTTGTATACTGTTAGGCCCCGTTGGTTTCATTTAGAGAATTTCGGCGATGAAAATTGCCATGTTTCGCATGGTGGGTTTCTACATACATACATACATACATACATATGTACATAGAAAAAATATTTTTGGATATTCATAAAAAAAATTTTCATTTATTTCAATTCAATTTATGTTCGCTTTGTTTAAATATTGTAATGTCGACACATATACAAGAAAAGGTATTCACTTTAATTTAAAAAAAATGTAAGCCAAAATCATTCATTCGGTTTGTATATGAATAATTCATAAGCCCATTGAATGAATTCATGCAGCCCATTCATGTAGATTACGTATGTATACAAACTCGGTTTTTGGAGGTATTTTAAAATCGGCCCAGCTCACGTAAATTTTAATGTTTTTCCGAAATATTTAGGGGAAAGCCTTTAAACATAATCAATTTCATGATTCTGTGAGGTGAGAACAGAAATAAGGCGGCTTAAGGGCAATAATGCTACCGGAGGCGACTGTATTCCGGCTGAGCCGGTGGCGAAGAATTAGTAGGGCGCATGACTAGCTTTTAAGCAGAATTCGGTCTGAAGATTACATGCCCGAAGACTGGACTCCTAGTGTACTTTTTCTAATCCACAAGGAGGGACAAGGTACAAGGTCCTCTCGATGATACTGTGTGAAAGGCTGAATCGTCAATCTATTCCAGAACTATTCTAAGCATGATCTTCGGCCCTATGCGCGTGGACGATGGGTATTGGAGAAGATGGAATGACGAGATTTATGAGTTTTTTAACGACATAGTCATAGTTAAGCGCATAAAAAAAATACAGCCCGTGCGCTGGCTTGGACATGTTATACGCATTTATGACAGCGCTCCGGTGAAAAAATCCATCGACTCCGCACCCATGGGTGGACAACGAAAGTAAGGGCGCCCACGAACAAAATAGAAGTACCTAGTGCAGAGGGACCTTTCTGCATTCGGGATTAGCAACTGGCGCAAATTCGCACAGATCTTTCCTGGAAAGTGCAGAAATGTTTTGGTCTCGACAAACGGTTGTAGTGCCAAATGAGAAGAATTTATATTAACCGATTTATTTTCAATAGTGTTATTGAGCTTTGTACCACGATTTTGTTTTTTAGGAAAAACGGAAAAAGCAATAAAGTCTAAGTGGTAGAAGTAATAGCTGCTATTTCGGAGATTACCACATCTCCTTATCAGACTTCTTTTTCTAGGTTTCAGCAAGAATCGAACCTGCTTCATCCATGTGCAAAGTCAGAAGCGCTGAAAACTGAGTTATGCACGCCACCGTAAGCTCTTGTTGCTAATTAACTTCCTTATTCAACCTACTACTATGAAATGCAGCTGATTCGAATTTAGATTTAAAATCCTAACCTATTAATCTCCTTAAGCTGGCCAGCAATCCTTAAACATTGATCGGTGTTTACATCCCATATATTTCAATTGGCATTGAGAGAACAGAAATAATGTAAATAACATAACGTTGAGGAAAAAGACTTTCCGAGTATCGAAAAAAATATTACTGTCCGCTTATTGGAGCTTTCACAATTCAATTTGCCTATTTCAGATTTTTAAGTCAAATTTGAGTATGAATACATACATACCATTGCCATTTAGGCATATATCCCGTGCCACGTCACAATCTCCTCCGCTGAAGCTGCATATTTCGCCATTCTGTGAATTCCGCGCACAAATCATTTGCTCGTTGTGTACGCAAATTACAACACTACAATTTGGTCGACAAAATCCCATAGCAATTTTCCTAAAAACTTTTCGTACAAAGAGCAAAAGAAAAAAAAAAACAAAAATTAAAAATAACAATGCAAACAATTTCGGAAACTATATAGAACATTTATCCCGTGACACAGTGGCACATAAAGCTCACCACCCGCTGCTGAGTGGGTGGGTAATACTCACCGGGCCTTACTTCCCTTGTGCCCAACTCTTGGCGCTCACGGTTGGTTTGCCATAGCAAACATTCGCTACCGAATAGCACATAGTCGACATTGTTTGCTGTGGCGCATACCGGCCGCCAGTTAGTGTTGTCCTCACTACCACAGTGTGTCGTCAATGTTTTGTCCATCAATGGCCGTGGCGGCGGCGGCGGTGGTGGCGCCACCAGCAGTTGCTGACGTATGCCGAAGTCGAGGTGAGCACTGGTTGGTGTGACTATGCTGACGGCATTGTCGTTGCTCGCACTGTCACTGACTGCGGACACGCTCTCTAGTTGGGTCAAGAGTAGCCAAAAATGAATTGCAATGCCGGCGATGCGTAGGTCTCTGAACACGTGCAGTATGCCGTGTGATACCAACATTTCTCCTTCGGGTACAGTGTTGCAGCGCTGAAGCGATGGCGAAAAGATGTGCCGAGCGTTGAGACAAATCTAAATTCAGCAGTTTGCTGTAGTAAAGCTCCTATGGCTTGAAGTTGCACTTTTACAGCGCACTGGCTCTTGGCTTTGTCTTGACTAATCGTCAGATACAGTAACCATAATGGTTTTATATGCACTCGCCAGCATCCACAATAAGGTAGCAAACTATATCGCACGTCTCAAAACTTGCGCTTGAACTTTTCATATCAAATTTCCACGTGCTGTGATTGTGACAACGTTGCTTTGCCTCCACTGGCAGTGCACGATATCTAGAAGGGTATCTTCTCCACTACTAACTTGCATCGCTCGCCAGATTCTAGAGGTTGTGCGTGAATTTTGTTTCATTCTCACATCTTTAAAGAAAACGCGGGCACACAGTTAGCGGTCATTAATTTAGAAAACTTCTGCTAAAGCCCTGCTCTTTTCACTCTGTATGCTCGTTGGCTGGCATGCAATCACGCTGCCGTTTACATTTATGTACATACATACATATATATGTACTTAGATGTGTGCAGTGAACTCTACCGCTAAATGCAGCTTATTTTTCGGGTCAGGTGTTGCAGCGATAATTGTGTTGATTCCATATTTTCTTGTCTGCTGCGCACAAATGTGCCATTTCGCATTTCAGTAGTCGCTGGGAACGTTGTCGCGCTTTGGAGCTTTATCGTTGCGGTGCTTGGCGACGATATTGTTGGTGGGTACGTGATTTTGTTTGGCATTTTTGCAGCACTAGCTGCCTTGGTTAACGCCAGCCGGCAAGTGGCATTTATTTATCGCTGCAGAACATTCTTTTGATATCTTTAATGCACCGTCAGAAAGTCGTTCATTCATAAAATTTTATCTTTTAACGATTTTCTCGACATGATTACTTTGCAAAGAAAATTATATATTAGGCTGGGTCGATTTTGTATGGGGGAAAATAAAAGTCGTTTGACCGCATTGTAATAGTAATATTATGATGTATTAGGTCTTAGTTAATTGTTATTGGCCACGAAAAATTAATTTAATACTTATCTTTAGCCCGCGCAATTGCATCAAAGTATACGAATTTTGAAAATGAAACTTTGGCTGGTAATATCTATGGAATGCGTTAATTTTTATAAATAGGACGATATATCAAAGTAAGGGTTATTAAATTTAGTACCTCACGTTCATTTATCATTTTTCAATAAGTCCTAAATTTTTAAGATATTAAGATAAAACTTACAAAAACTATAATTTTCCCTTATAGATTTTCAATTCTTCATTACTTCAGCAACCAAGTGAAAAATACAAAAAAGTGAGACGGGATTTATTTCAAACGTTTTAATGTTTTCGGATGTTTATATAGTATTAAAAGAACCATGGACTTGGTCACGCTGATTTGGTCAGTACTCAAGATCCTGATGAATGAAATCAAATATGTATCGTCAAAGAATAGGAATCGTTTGATAAGTTAATAGTGGTTGCATACATTAACATAATACAGTTAGGGTGAGAAACGCCCATTTTAAGTCCATTTATGCAGTCTTGAAAATTGGTGCGGAATAGTTTTATTAGTCAACGAAGACGCACATTTTTCGCGGTTTCTAAATTTGCCGTTATATGAAAGTAGGAGACGTGAAATAATTGTTTAGATATAGTGCATAAGTATTTTAGTTAATTGCATTATGTGAAAAAAGTCTTTAACATATCCTGGGAAATCCTTTTGAAGACTCCCCAATTAGACGATAGTGCTTTGCATTCAGCTTGAACGAAAAAAAGGCGCTCCCTGGAACACTTTTCTGTAATCCGGCTCTTTTATCTAAACGTTTTTTATACAATTGAAGATAATTTTTTTTAGAAAAAAACTGGAGATCCACTTAAGTTTTTCGATATAACTTTGGTAAATGTTACTCGATCGGCACGTAGTAAGTACCAAATTGAAGGAGAGACTTACTGTTACTGATTTATAATAATAATATTATAAAAATAGTTCAGATTATAAACAAATTGTTTTAAATTAAAAAAACGTGTTGAACATTTGTTTTGTAATTTTCCTTTATTTGCAATTTTTATATTGTATGCATAAACATAAGTAAACTAATTAGTGTTTCTAGAAGTTGTGCCTATTCAGTGTTTCCATACTCACTTGCATAAACCAAAATTGTTCCTTTTTTTTTTCCGAAATTGTTCCCAAATTTGCAAAAATTCGCAAACTATAGCTAATATTGAAAAAAAATTAGAATATTTGGAACCAGCGACCTAAATGAACGCCAGAAATATTAATGCTGTTCTTTACATCTTTTGACTATAGGCCAGTGCAATTATCAAGAGAACAATTAAAAATGTATTGAAAAAAGATAACTTTGAGATAAACCATAAGCTAAAGGGCTGCGAAAAATTATATTTGACTTTATCTTTTGCATTAACGGATTCATTATTTAATAATATGCACCAAACCTTTTTGCTGAACCCAGAATTTTTAACAAGAATGGGTTTTATTCGACTAGTGTGCTGTGGGAGACTTGGCGGTCGATGCGCGGGCTCTTAACATTAAAATAAAATACTAATATTTTGCAGGCTTCTTGTTGACTTCATGATACATTATATTTTCACTATTGCCAAGGGATTTGAGTAAAATTAGATTTTCGACCCGCCCTATTATATATGTACATATGTATACACATACTAAATAAATACATACATACATCAGCACATAACCATATGTATAAAAGGTGTAGGGTTTCGCAAACGAGTTTGAACTCACAGAAGTCATTGACACCAAGATTTTGGTTCTGTTTTGTTTTTTATTCATTCCGGATATAGAATAGAATAATGGGTATAAAGAAACCGAAAATAATGAAATAATTAGGTATCAGCTAGAAAATTAATTTTTGGTGCTTATTAACTTTTAATTTAATTTGCCAGGGAGGCATTGCCTTGCTAGGCGATATTTTCTCTAGCTATTATTTTACAAATCTGTTATTTTAATATCGATGCTACGATTTTGACGCATAAATCTCTACACGATTGGAGGTCAGGGTTACCAAATCTCATTTTCGCCACAACGACGATTTAGGCGGTTTTGCAACTGATCTGATCTAGAAAGACGGTACACGACCCAAAGTTAAGTTCACAAGTTTTGGCGTTCATTTGTGTCATTTTGGCATCCCTACAGTACATTCACTCGTTCTGATAAAGTTATAATAATCCACAACTTTGTTATATAGAACGAAATATCTCCATGCGTACGTGTATAAATACATACTTGCTTAGGAAACTATTATCAAACTTAGGTTTTCTAATTTTCAATTGTTTTGTCTTTTGCTTGCACTGAAGTCTAGAATAACTTATCCGACATTTTAAACTAATAAAAACTGTGGTAAACTAAAATATTATTGCAAAGCTATTTGACTTCGTGACATGTCATTGAAAGTTTAGCAAATCCCTTTAGAAGCATTTTTTGCACTTTTTATCCATTGCTTGCATTT